AGAACTCATATAATTCCTTTTTAAATTTTTGTAATTTTTCAAGCCCATGGAAAAGTTGAACTGTGCAATGAAAAGTTGAACCTGTGCAATGAACATACCTCCTACTTGGTATCTTTAGGATACTCATCTTACATCTCTCTTGATACATACACACAGACCTTTTGCGAAACCATCTGAAAGCAGGTTGCAGACATCATGATGGTTCACCCCTAAATACTTGTTTGCGTTTTTCAAGAAAGACATTCTCCTTACATGACCACACATTATTTCCACACCTAATCAAATCAGCATTAATTTGGTAGCTTCATAAAACGTGCAGTCCTCACACAAATTTCCCATTTTCCAAAAAAATGTCCTTTTTAACTCCTTCCTATCCCTCTCACCCCCACCTAAACTTAGGATCCAGTCATGACTCACACATTACATTGGGCTCTTCTGACTTTTAGACTCCTAATCAGAAACATCCCTACCACATACTTCTGATCTGTAAAAGATAATTCCTCTTTGAAACAGTCTAATAGTAGCATAATCTTTAGAAACTAAATTCTTTCATAAATGCCAAAGGAGTTAAGTCTTCAAAGGAAAATGTATTTGTTCTTTGGACATTTCCAGAATTAGAGGAAATAGATGGCTAGATTGAGGCTTATATTTCTTCTGTAAAATGATATATTACTTTGCAGTGGGAATATTGTGTAGTAATTTATACTAATTAAATAGTGTATTTTAGTTGTAGTAATTAAACACTGCTCTCCATACAATAGTTGTTGTTTTCTATCTGAGTTTTACTCTCATGTTAATAAATTTAAGACATTTATACCAGCGTAAGGAAAGCTTAATTATGATTATTTACTTGAATTAACTTTAAAGAAAAGAGAAAATAATCATACCAAGAAATATTGTATAAACTTTTTGTAAGTATTGAATGGTAGGTAATTTGGTTAAAATGTTTACTTAATATAAGGAAAACATACTAGTTACTCTTAATAAAGATTTACCTTTCAATGATACTGTATAAAAAATAACTGTGCAATTACTATTATTATGTTATAGAATAATACTGTAACTGTGAACTAAAATAGACCTCAAGTTGAGGTGCAGTATTTGGACTAGTTCTTTGGAATATATTTACACGTAATATTTTAATAACTACTGAATGTGTGTGCTTCTCATATGGCAGTTTTGTTTTCTGTATTACTTAGATCATTGATTTTCTTTTTGTCAGATGCTAACATCAGAGAAGTGGGCCTTGAAGGGGCGTTATTGACCTTGCTTGACAAAGAGACAGATCAGAGATTATGCCATGATATCAAAGAGACTTTAAATCATATGCTCACATCTATGGCAGTGGATAAACTCTCCTTTTGGTTAAAGCTTTGTAAAGATGTACTGGCTGCATCAGCTGGTAAGTACTGATGATTACCAGCTGAAATAATAAAACAACATAAAAGCCGTATGTAACATTGTTTACCAGTGGCAAGTCATCAGTCTTGTCTGAATATTTGGATCATAATTGCTTGTTACTTTCTTTAAATGAAGTTTCTAGTGCTAGTTTTAACACTTAAAGCTTACTTTTTTTCCTCTTAAGATTTCTACTATGACTTTCCTATATAAAAAAATAAACAAAAAGTTATACTATAAAGGGGATGGCCTAACTTACAGTAGCCCCATCATTTATTTTCATACATATAAGAAATATTTGAGGGATTACTTCAAATAAACTTAATAGAAAGCTCACCAAAAATAACGACATTTTAAGCGAACTAGTTTCCCCACTCTTAGTAATGTTCATTTCAAGTAGTGATAGAAAATAGTGTTATTTCCCTAATGCCTTTGCTTGTAAAAGATAATTGTTAGTGAGAAAGTGTTTTAGAGTCTTTAAAATTTATATCCTTGGAGTAAGAGAGAAAATAAATGAGGAAGAAAGAACATAGAAACCAGTTCTGTTGCAGGTACTGTACATATTTTATCTTTACCTGAGTAGGCAGTATTATTCTATCTTATACAAGAGAAAAGACTTGGAAAGGTTAAGTAATTTTCCCAAAGACACACACATATGGATTCGAACCTTAGTCCGCATGACTTTTAAAATCTAACTTTTTATTGTACTTCAGTAGCTCTCAACTCCATTACTTAAGCCTGACAATTTAATGTAGCTCTGGTCTCTTGAGTTACATGAAAGGAATAAGGCTACCATCAAAGTCCTGGCATTATTTTTTACACTCTTCTCTGTCTACCTTGATTCTTGTTGGTACTTTTCTTTCCCAATGATTTATACCTGCTCTTTCAACCATTATGCTCTATATATGTTTTCCTTTAATGTTCCTCTTCTGTCCCCACTAAGAACTTACAAGGACTTTAAAAGAAAAAGGACTTTGCCATAATTTTATTTGGGACATACAAGATAATTTCAGGAAAACAGATTGGTTTGTTTTATAGCATTAGTTCCATTTTAAATCAAGTTAAACAGTTAATAAATTAACAGAGTCTGGTATCAAGAGGAAATAATTCACTACTTAGTGACTCTGACCATCAGGACAATTTGAGACTGTAATTACAGCAATGGGTCTATCTCAGAAAAATATTTGTAGACATTTTCGGTGGGTTTAGAAACTTACTTAAATTCATTCAATGCCCCACTGTTAAAACAACATCTCTAGTACAATCCACCACACTCTCTACTAGGGAATTTTGAGCTTCTTTAAGTATATCCATCTACATAGAGAGGATTGATAGTTTTTCTAGTATTGTGTTCAGTTTTTCACTTTGAATTTAACAACTTTGTCATTTGGACCTAAAACAGCTCTTATACCATTTCTTTAGGTACCACTGTTACCAGTAATTATTAGACATGATTATCTTACATTGTTAAAAGGTGCGTGATTGATCAGCGGTAATTCTAGTCTGAATTTGAAGTCATTTATGTTCCTACATAAACATATCTTCCAACTGACTGTAATTATGTGTATTCTCCCTTGATTAAAGATTTTACAACTGTAACTTGTGTGGATACAATGCAAGAAGAGGAAGGAGATAAAGGGGATGATGCTTCTGTTCTGACCACCAAAAATGATGGCAGACTTCATCCTTTTACCAATCCCCGATGGGCAACACGAGTCTTTGCTGCTGAATGTGTCTGTAGGATAATTAACCAGTGTGAGAATGCACACAGCGCACATTTTGACATTGCTTTAGCACAAGAAATGAGAAAAAGAGATTCAAGAAGTAAGTGGCATAATAATAAAAAGACCAAATGGTATACATAGAAATGCTGTCTGCCTATAGTATATTTTTAATGTTGATACACATTTTTAATGATTAACCTTCTTAAACTGGCATTCACTTTTGTTTAGTGGACATATGTGATGTATTAAGTTTATAGAGAATAGTCATGTTCTTGAAAAGTGGTATGTGTGTTAGCTAGTTCCCATAATTTATTTTCCTAATTTTATTTTCTGAATTGTAACCTAAAGCAGTTTTGCTTATAGATTATTTTGGTTTTACGGATATTGCTTGGAAGCCTATCTCAGTGTAAAGTAAACCTACTTGTAAGAACCATTTTGACCTTTTATTGTTCAGTTGTTGTTGTTTTTTTAACCTGAATATGTGTGGGTTTATAGTTTGATGTCTGATTTTTTTAATTCACTTAAGCACATATGTTCAAAGACAGAATGCTCATATCTAAATGCCTTGGAAATATTCTTTACCTAACAAAAGAGTCATAAAGCAAAATATTGTTATTGCCAGTCTGAAAGTATGAATTAGGTATTTCTGTTCTAATGATTTTTCAAGCAGGCACTTACTGAGTCTCTTATTTGTGATGAGCACTGTATTGATAGGCATACAATTAGTATATTATAGATGCTTACTGATTCCTGTCCTCCCAATTAAAATTGTAATTGGCACTTAACTAAGATGAGTTGGTTTCTTCACTGTGACCTATAACTAGTATACTTCTTTGAATTAGTCTCAGATATTTTTTAGATAAAGGTTAGTTGCACCTGTAAACATTTTATTATTGAAACAATGTTAAATGTTGTCTATGTCTCTCCCCAGTAGAATTACACCAAAGAATATGTTGTAGGGATGAAAGGAATTCTCATTTATAAACTTGATAGGTAGAAATATTTTTTATGCTCCCATCATTTGTATGTGTGGAAGGACATGCGAAAATAAGGTAATGTAGTCCATATAAAAAGCCTTGTAAAACTTTTTTTTTTGAGATACACTAAGTCTTTTAGCTTCGACTCTACGTGAAGATGGTGATTACATTACCGCCTAATTCATCAAAACCCAAGGTCTCCTAACTACCCTCTAATGTGCTTTTATCAGAAAGTCCGAACAAAATTTTTATTGAAGGTACCTTTAGCACTCTTTTAAAGGATGCTAATTCTGACACTGGTTTTTGAATAGCTGTATAGTTATTTGCTTTGGGATAGTTTTTTGTGTATAAGTATTTGCAGTGGTGCAGTAAATCCAGCTTGATTTAACAAACAGTAAAACTGTAAATCAAAGCAAAAGTACTTAAAAGAAAGTCTAGGTTATGAAATTAAAAGGAGGAAAAATGATCACTTAACAAATCTTAGTTTCAGCATATTCTTTTTCTTAGTAATACATATTTTTTAATCTTCTAGATGACTTTTTGGTGCTACATCTTGCTGACTTAATTCGCATGGCTTTTATGGCTGCCACAGACCACAGTGACCAGCTCCGTCTTTCTGGCCTTGAAACACTGTTAGTTGTTATTCGGCGATTTGCAACTATTCCGGAACCAGAGTTTCCAGGTCATGTGATTCTGGAACAGTATCAAGCCAATGTAAGCACTTTCTGTTAGAGAATTTTATTATTAAACACCCAGATAAAAAGTCTGTGACACTAATTGGCATGTCACCTCTTAATACATAAATGAGTGTGTATCTCTTGCTAATATATCACCAGTATAATCAGTATATGTTTAAAGAAGAAATCTTCAAGTGAACACAAAATAACACATAAAAGAGGTCTTTTATAATGCTAAAGGTTTATTTTCATAATTAAAACCTTCTTGATAATTTGGGGCAGTAAAGGACTTCGGTAATGAAATTCCTTACAAGATAGCTAAATAAGCTTAAGATAACACTAAATCATTAATAAACACTCCATTTAGGCTACATGCATGTTTTATCTTCAAATTATTACTGCTAGAATATATAACCTTTTTTTTTCTGGACTTAGAAAGAATTCAGATTTCTGTTAACTCATTCTGTAATCTTTTTAACTGGTATTTTGACTGGTGCATTGAGCAATGTAGGAGGAACAAGGAAGATAACAAAATCATCCCACATTACATTATATGCATCACATGTAATCTTAAGTAGCATTCATCCAAGGATGCCTCTCATTATTATTCAGAGGCAGCTTCTGGTGGCTGGGAGTTAGGGCGTCCAGAGCAGTTCACCAGTTGGTTAGCAGGCTCCATCACATCCTGCCAGCAGGTCATGCCGATCGATGTGTGTGTTTAGGGAGAAAGCAGAAGGAAGGAAGGGGAGTTATACACAACTATCATATTGGAATAAAATATTACAATTCAACTTACTTAAGGGGAGCTCTATTAACATTTTTAATCCTTTTAAAGTTGCAAATGATGGGAATAAAATTACAACTCATTTAACCAGAAAAGGGAAATTGTTTTCAGGAATCTTAGTTGGCTCTGCTCTCTTCTGCACTGGCTTTATTCTCAAGTTTGCCCTCTCCAAGTGGTATCAAGATGGCTGTCTTAGCATGAGGATTCTTTTAAAGAGAGCACTTCTTTCTTAGTACTCCCAGCAAAAGTCTTGAGGAGAGCTTTCATTATCCCAGTGCAGGTCCCTGGAGCCAGGTGCTGTCAGCTCCATTGCAACAACGTGGGCTAGGAGTTGGGGAGAAAGAAAGTTCCCCAAAGGAAAGCTGGGATGCTCTTAGCTAAAAGTAGAGGAGGATATACTGGGCAGGCAAAAACAACATTGTCTGTAATGCCTATTATAAAGAAAGCGTTTTAAAATAGCATTCAAAGAGAAAGAGTTCATTCTGTCTTACTTATTGATTCTTGAATGAGCATGTAATTTCTTGCCAGGTAGGAGCGGCACTTAGACCTGCCTTCACTTCAGAGACACCACCTGATGTCACTGCCAAAGCATGTCAGGTAAATGGTTAAAAAGATGAATTTTCAGAAGTAAAACCCTCTCTTAGGAAGCAACTCTCCAGTTAGTATTTGATACCAAGGTTTTACATTTTAGTTGCGTAAGCATTAATCTCAGCTGCCTCTTTCCCTTTACTTTTTAAATTGAAAGAACTTTCTCTTTCTTATGACTGCACAGTAATCTAGTATATGGGTACGTCACCAGTTCCCTAATAATGGAAGTACAGATGTTTTCATCTTTTGTTATTATAAATAGTGCTGTGGTGAATGACCTTCTTTCTGTATAGGTTATTTCAAGGGGTCCAAACACATCTGTGAGATACACTCCTCAAAACTGAATTGCTGGGATAAAGGGTACATTACTGGAGTTTATCAATTTAAACTCCTCCGAGCACCATATGCAAGTACCTATTTTCCCAGAATCCCAGAAGCATTGTGAGTTGTCAAACTGAAATTTTTGTGTATGTGATGGAATAAAAAGGATCTCAGGATAGTTTAGATTTGTATTTCAAGTGAAGTTGAACATTTTTTCATATATCTAAGAGCCACATAAAATACAGTTTTAAGTAGTTGCTTTTCTTGGAGTGGTTGTCAAACACTCAATATCCAGCCCCAAATGGCCTGAAATAATTAAAAGCAGAACTGACATGAATTAAATTAATTATGAACACAACAGAAAAATCTTAACTCAGTTCTTTCAATTTTTTTAATTCAGTTGTGTTTAGGAAATGTATGAATATCTTAAATATTCAGAGAACTGTGCTAACTGTTGTACTGAATCTAATTTATCATCATTTTATTATGTGTTTTTGCTGTTAGACACTTGAAAACTTTTGTGAAATGAGAGGAAAATTAAATCAATAGATGGAAGAGGAAAAATTAATTTTTTCTAGTAAAGGAGAAATCTGGTAACACCCAGCAAAACCACAGACAGCCTGTGTTAATTGAGTAAATTTTTTGCACTGGAGCATTATTAATGATCTTTTGTTTTAAAAATTAAAAATACCTTCAAAAGAATCAAAATCTTCATTGAGGTTTTAAATGTTAGGTAAATTTCTCTCTCTTCAAAGAAAGAACCATGCAGTTAATCCCTGATTTTAAAATAAGATGAAATAATCAAGATTGGAGATATATAATTCAAATGTTAATCCAAACATTCATGAAAATGGCTTCATTTCTCCATGTTAGCAGCATCTGGGACTCTGATTCATAAACTTGCTGGCACTGGTTTCATTTTTTCAGACTTTGGTCTTCTTTCCCTTTTGAAGTGCTGGCTGTTGACTGTCATTATCAGCAACATCCCGTTGGGCTTCTTGATAGCAAATGATTTCAGTGACCAGATTCCTGAGATGTGGGTGAGCTCCGCTGAACTCACAAGGCGGGTATTTATAATTTTAAATATAACTTTTGACTTTCCTAAAAACTAGGTTTGCAGTGCCTGGATAGCAAGTGGAGTTGTAAGTGACCTTAATGATCTCCGAAGAGTTCATCAGTTGCTTGTTTCATCATTAACAAAAATACAGGTTGGAAAAGAAGCTCTAAGTCACTTATATAATGAAAGTGCTTCTACCATGGAGATCTTAGCTGTGCTAAAAGCCTGGGCAGAGGTTAGTACTTCTCAATTTATGACCAGAATTTTGGAAGTTGTTAATAACTTAGACCATAAACTGAAATTAGCTATTTAAAACACAAATAAGTCTATGTTTAAGGTTAATGGAAGTCTTTCAACATGAGATTTATTTATATTTTAATTGATGTTTTGGCCAAGCATTCTAAAGTGTCCTCCAGTGTCTGTTACCTGCTGCTTTAAGCAGGAGCAGTCATGAGCCAGAGAGACTTTATAATAGTCAATGGAAATCAGCTTTTATTGAAACCTGAATTATTAGAAGTATGGGGTTACTTGTATAGTCTGTCAACTGTATAACACATACTTTAATATTTTTTAATGCTCTTTCATAGGATGACTTTAGATTATTAAGTCAGTCATTTTATTTTCTAAGATTAAAAAAATTCTTAGAAGAAAATATTTAACTTTTCCTTACTTTTTAATCAGGAAAAAAGTTATATAATTTTAAAATGTATAATGGAAGTGTTTACACATATACAGAAGTAGAATAGTATATAATGAACCCACATATACCCATCATCCAGCTTCAGCAGACACCAGACTTGGCCATTCTTGGTTCATGTAGCACTTTAAAGAAGTATTTAGTTTCAGATTGCAACTGAGAGAGTTAACCAATATGTAAGAAAGGATTTCCTTCAGTAGAGCTGATTAAAACCAGAAGATTGTCGAGTGTCTATTTTTGTCATTATTTAATGTTGACAATCTCAGTTAGGAAGTAGTTCTACCTAGATTTAATAAGTTGGATCTAATGTTCTTTAACAGTGAATTCTAAGTGTGTTAAATATATACTAAAAGTAGAGCAAACAAATTCTGTAATTTCTGTAACATATTTTATAAATAGCTGTATTTACATAGTGTCCTTTATAATGATTTGAATCTCTGTACTCTTGCATAAGCCATTAATTTCTCCTATTCCATCCTTAGTAAAAATAATGACTGACCAACAAGTTCCATGTACTTGAGGCCCATAAGTATCTGAAATCCTTGGAGCCAGATATATTTGGAATTCAAAATTTGGGGGATTTTCAGAAAGTAATAGTGCATATTCCACGTATCCATCCAGAATGTCTGGGACAGTATAATAGAATGTAATCAAACACATTAATATGTCTGTGTGAAATGTTTGAATAGTCACATTGTGTTGGAAAGAGACTATAAATAGCCTCACATAATTCAGTTTTGTCACAAGATTGATTTCCCACAGACTTACAGTTCTCAGAGCCTTTTGGATTATAGAGTTTTGAACCAAGGGGTAGTACACATTATGTGCTGTGTTGAATACTTTAACATTGTATAGTCCTGTAAGTGGTCCATGTTAAATCTGTTTAGGTATACTTTTTGTAGTGATTTGGTGGTAACATTGGAGAAAAATACTCAGTATTTCAGCTTCTTTCAGTTCAGAGATGGCATCTGGAGCCATATGTAGAGATGGGTTGCAAGGCTATAACTAGGCCTAGTGAAAAAGAACACTATGATCATTTAGTTGTAGCGGTCATAATTGTAAACTTCAGAGTGGCAGCGTATTTGTCAAATGTTTATTTTCCCTAATGTATCTCATGAGATAATACTTTTGGATTTTTCTACCTTAGTTTTGTGTATATGACTGGCTACACGTGTATACCTTCTTGGTATCACGATGCATTTTAAGTCCAGGAGGTTCAAAGATAAGTCTGTGTCTTCAGCAAGATAAAAATATTGTAGCATCTTTTCAGTGGGTACAAGATTTTCCTATTTATAAAGTACCTTTATACAGGTCTACATAATTGCTGTAGAGAGACATAAAACCCACAACCAACCTTTGAAGACTGCTGCCTGTTCAGAAGAGAGTGTCAGAAATGGGTCGAGCTCATCAGACGGGCTGCTTGACTTAGTCCATGCAGATCTCAGCACACTGAGTAGGCTCTGGCTCTCTGCGCTTCAGGATTTTGCTCTCTTAACTTTGCCTTCCGAATTTGCCTCCCAACTTCCTGTTGAAGGTAAGAGGGTAAAATATTTACATGGTTCCTAGAATGACAGTCAGTAATGTGTATTTTTAAAATTTCTTCATTAGCAAGTGATATTTATCTGAAACATTTTTCCCAGAATAGTTTTCATTCATAGAATAAATGCATGGGAGACTGGCTTTCAGGGTGGAGACCCTGAAGTTGAATGGCTCGGTCATAAGGCATGTTCGTGTTCCCTCACAAGACACTGCCAGATTGCTCCCATGATTATATAATGTATACGCCCACCAATACCATGTTTCTGGTTTTCTGCATCTTCCCACCATTATATGTTAATCATATTTAATGTTTGCCAATCTGATGAGTATGAAATAGGTTCTATTGGTTTATATCCTTGATTGAGAGTCTTTTTTCCTAGGTGTATGGACTGTTTTTCTTCTTCTGTAAATCACCTAGTCATAGTCTTTACTCATTTTCTACTTGGTATTTCTCATTTTCGTACTGATTTGTTAATCCTTCATGCATTTTTAACACTGTCCCTTTGTGGTTCCATATCTTGTAGATATCCTCCCCCAGCCCGTAGTTGCTCTTTTTTTTTTTTTTTAACCTTTTTAAAATTAATGTAATCAATTGTTTGTGGTTTATGTTTTTGTGCAATGCCTGATATGTTTTTTTACTTGCGGTCATAAAGAAATATAAGCTTTATAGTTTTGCTTTTTACATTTTGGACTTTAGTCCAACTGGAATTTATTTTCTGTTTATGGAATGAGGATGGGGATCTAATTTTATAGTTAATTATTATTAATATCGCATTTTTCGGATTGGATATTTGGTAGCTGCTCTTAATTTTCATGTTATTCCAAAATAGCTATTAAATTTTTTCTCTCTTTGATATGAATTTTAGCCTGTCAAGTTCTATTGGAATTTTAATTGGAATTATACACAAAGAGATATGTAGAGTGTTTATCGCACTTTGTACTTTTTAATAGCATAAAAATGGAAACAAAATGGAAATAAACCGATTATTTGGCATATTTTAATCAGCAAAAGTGAATGACAGACATAAATCAACATATGTAAATCTCAAAAACATAATGTTCGGGGGAAAGCAAGTTCAAAAAGGATACATACAGTATGAGGCTTTTTAAGTAAACTTACAGAATAACAGCATATATTGCTTATGAATATAAACATCTAGTGTGAGTGTGTAAGACCATGAGAGTGATTCACAATGACGTGATGAAAGTGGTTACAGAAGGAAGGGCAAGCATTAGTGGCATCAAAAGTTTTAGGGTATTTTGTTTTGTTTAAAGGAATAAGAGATTTAAGAAAGGTAAAATGTTAACCTTGGAGGTAGATAAATAGGTATCGATATTTGTTTTAAACATGCATATCCAGAACAAAAAAAATAAACATGCATATACACATCACATATTTGTTTTTAAATATTTTGTGATTAAAAATAAAAAGTTAAGAATTAACCTGCAAACTTTTTATAAAGCTGTTAAGGTACATCAGCCCTATGACCCAACAAGTCTCAGGAGAAATAAAATCATTGATAACAAAGCAGCATGGGTGAATCTCCAAAAACATTGTTAAGCAGAATCTCAGTCACAAACAAGTGCAGACTGTATATTTTTCCATTTCTCTGAAGCCCAAGAACAGGCAAAACTAATCTAGTGATAAAAGCCAGAAAGTAGTACCCTTGGCGTGTAGGGACTGACTGGAAAGGAGTCACAGAGGAACTTTTGGGATGATGGAAATGGTCTGTATCTTCTAACAGAAAAGAAGGAGAGTGTAGTGTGAGTTAGTCTCTTCTTTTATTCCTCCTGAAACCGTTTGCTTCCCCTTTTTTGTAGGTGGTGCTTTCTACACAGCAGAGACTAGTGAAAATGCAAAACTGCATTATTACAGCTCCTGGGCGCTTATCCTCCACGCTACAGCACTGTGGCTCACCAGCACAGGCTTCGTTGTTGCTGACCCAGATGAGGGGGCGCCTAATCTCTCGAGGCCTGTAACACCAACTTCCATGTGTCAGGGCTCGTCTGGAGTGACAGTAAAGTCCCCTGAGGATGTCTACACCGAGAGATTCCATCTTATTTTAGGTCAGTAAAAGACCTTACCGGCTTCCAACCCTGCAGAGTTTTTCTTGAATTGTGCCTGGTTGTCTGTCTCTCTTGGTGGCTGTTACATCATTCTTTGCTAGGCATTAGTGATAGCCTTGATATAACTAAGTAAGCTTGTATACATTTTATAAAATTGCAGATTTCATTATATTAAGTCTAGAATCCCATTACAAGCTGGCTTCAGCAACAAGTTGAATTTAGAAATTGCAGAAGTAGTCTAGTTCTTTCCACGTGATTTTTTAAAGACCTATGTGGTGTGTACAAATGTTCTGAATTTCTCCGTGTGTGTGTATAAAATGTCAATATACCGAGTCATGTCCCCTTCCCCATTCTCAAGGACTGCAAGGTTCAAGAAAGTATACTCAGGTACAGAACTACAAGCAAGTATTTAAGGTCAAAGATAAATGAGGTTTTTAGATTTATGAAGTTTAACCCATTTTTTGGCTTTCCTGGAACTTCATTTTTAAAGTGAGGTATCTTTCTAAGATACAGTGACTTTCTAGAATAAATATTTTTCATACTTACCTGGTTCTGAGGAAGCAACCTATTAGAGACCTATTAAGTAAGTTATTAAGTGAAATGTAAGGTTTATAAAGGTAGGTGGTTAAGCAAGGTTTATGGTTCATAGAGTTTCTGTTATTCCTTTCCAGGCCAAACATGACCAGTTTTCCTATAACCTTACGTATATAAACATTTTGTTTCCATTTGGCTTGAGACGAGAGCTTTTTAAAAACAGACTTTTATACAGAGAAGGTTGGCAGAGCATAAGCATGTAGTTCGACTACCTCAGTTCAGATTCTTGGTATACCCCACTGAAACAGACCTTGCGCAAACGAAACTGTTTAGGCTCTGTGTGCTCAAGGGGAGTGGTAATAATAGTACCTACTTCCTCAGGTATTTGAGAGTGAAATGATATATTTAAAGTGCACTGCCTGATACATGGTGATCACTCATTAAACAATCAGGTTTTAGTCGAAATTAAGCTATGAAACTATGTGTTAAAGTTTTCTGATGCAATCTTATTGTAATTTCTGCAATAGTGCACAAGCCTAATTGACATTATTCTTTGTGTACATGTTGATAAAAACAAACTATTAAGAGATCGCTTATCACTTAATTTTTTTATCACTTAATTGTTTATAAAGTCTTAAATTCATTGTGGTTTATCTGCATTACCCTTTTGCTAAGTTTATTTGTATATCTTATCAAAATAGAAAATTATTTAACCTCATAAACTAAGAATCTCAAAAAAGCCTCATTCTCTCCTGCTTTATACAGGAATCAGTGTGGAATTTCTGTGTTCCTTACGTTCAGATGCAACCATGGAAAGCATTACTGCTTGTTTACATGCATTACAGGCCCTTCTAGATGTTCCTTGGCCCAGATCTAAAATTGGCAGCGATCAGGTGATTTCTTGTTTTTTTTGTTAAACTTCTGTAGATTTTAGGGAACAGGAACAGAAACATGTTCAGGTTATTAGAAGGGACACAGAGAAGTAAAAAGGAAACTAAAAAACTGCACAGCTAGACCTCAGAACTGAAATGCCATCATCAGCTGTGAGCAGTCTTCCCTCTGACTGCCACTTTCTGTCTCTGCTTTTGCTGCACTTACTTCTGCTGTCACCAGCCAGCCCCTCTGTGTAGCAGCATTCCGGCTGAACTTTCTGCAGTGATGGGAAGGTTCTGCATTGTACTGTCCGTGTCTCTTTCTGCTTCCGTGCACCCTGCCCTTCATATACATCTGCATCTTACACCTCATTTCACCAAGAGAGCGTCGTCTTGGTTCATGTAGCTCCTGTAGATTACGTAGTATTCCTTTTGGCTGAGTTCTCCATCACGTCTTTTTAAGAGAGGACTGGCTAGCCTGTAGGTGGAGTCAGACACTAATACCAGACCCAGTTGTGACCCTGGTAAAAGGATCACTGTACAAAGTATGGCACTTCCTTTAAGTGCTTTCCCAAGAGCAACTGTGTATTGGGCAGGCACCCTAAGCATCATGTATTACCAGTATATTGAATTGTGTATTAAATTGACTCTCAGATGCTAAGAAAAATGAATGGTATGATTTCCTTTCTATATAGACTATTATTTAATTTACTACCACTATTCTTTATTAGGTTTAAAATATTAGGTTCCTGCCTGACTTGGAGTGTACCTGAATACATTTTAAACTTTCTGTTCTTGTTTATTCTATATGTTAAAACAAGTATTATAATGATAGATTTACTCTCATTTTCAAAGATGAAAGAAAGCTACCACAGTAACCCATGCAAAAGAAAAGGGGAAAATGAAATAGTGCTTGTGTATTTTATTCTTTAGTGAGAGATTTATTCTGTGCTTCATCACTTATCCTCTTAATGTCATGCTTTGCCATCATTCTTTATTAGTACTAGAAATCTTAATATAAATCTGGGAATCTACATGGCAGTCCTTGTATTCTTTTAGCCACATTTTTCATCTTGTTTTGGAAATTTCCTTGTTTGTTTTCCCAGTTTAGGACCTGTGTGAAAGTGATCTTTTGTCCTAGTGCCATCTCTCAGAAAACTGGACAAAAACCTGTTTGTCCAATCTGGAGTTGGTTTAAAGTGGAGCACGTGTTACATAACTTTACTGCCCTAATATCTTTATTTTTTTGTGAGCCATCTGTTACATTCTCTTTCTCTGAATTTTTTTCATGGCATATAACATTGTGTGTGTGTGTTTTTTTAAGTATGCAATTTTCAGTTTGGTCTCACCCAAATATTTTCTGTGATAGGACTTGGGTATCGAGTTGTTGAATGTACTACATCGAGTAATTTTGACCCGAGAATCACCTTCCATTCAGTTGGCTTCTCTTGAAGTGGTCAGGCAGATTATCTGTGCAGCTCAAGAACATGTGAAGGAGAAAAGACGAAGTGCAGAAGGTGAATGTTAACCCATACGCCAAATTAATCACATGACATCATTATTTTTTAAAGTATTGCTTATGTGTCTGTGTCATTCTGAGAATCTGTTGTGTGTAGTACAAGTGAAACATCTCTGGGTATGGCTTCACATCCTCTCATTCACCTCTTCATGTTAGCTTGGATATTGTCAGTAGCTAAACTACTATTCCTTGGAAGAATTAGAATTTTAACAACCCTAGAAGAGAAGAAGAAAAATCCCTTTAGTAACTGGGTACTTATTTTAGTGTTTACCAATGTACATGGAAAGAATTACTGACAATTTTAATAGCTTAAATTTTGCAAAATGACTAAATTGCTTGTTTACAAGTCTAATTTGGTATTGGTGAGTTTATCATTTAAGATTATATTTGACTACATATAACAGAAAATACAATTTAACAGCAGATTTAAAACACAAGAACTTAATTCTCTCATCTAAAAGAAGTCCAGAGGTTGGCAGTCCTGGGCTGGTGTGGCAGCTTCTTAAAGACACCAGGGGCCTCGATCCCTCTCTCTCTGCCCAGCCACTACCAGTGCTGAGGATGTAAGGTCAGTGCTGGCATTCTAGCTATCATGTTCACATTTTTAACAGCAGGGAGTTGACCAGACAGTATTACAAGTCTGAGAGGGTCACCAGGGATTTCTTTTGATCCATTGCAACAAGAAGTCAAAATAAAGACAACTACTTTTACCTCCATAACTGCTTTCTGTTTCAGTCTTTAAGACCCAGGTTAACCCACTTACCTGTTTTACATACAACAGAAATGACCTCAACTGCCCTCTACTAGAAGCAAAGCAAACAGGCAGTATTTATTCAACACTGTTCTTTTTGTCTTTTAGTTGACGATGGGGCTGCTGAAAAGGAAACCCTGCCAGAATTTGGAGAGGGAAAGGACACAGGGGGACTTGTTCCTGGGAAATCGTTGGTCTTTGCAACACTGGAATTGTGTGTGTGCATTCTAGTTAGACAGCTCCCAGAGCTAAATCCTAAGTTGACAGGTAGCCCGGGAGTAAAAGCTGCGAAGCCACAGCTGCTGTCAGAAGATGGAAGCAGGCTCGTTTCGGCTGCGTTAGTTATCCTCTCTGAACTTCCTGCAGTGTGCTCTCCTGAAGGTACATGTGGTCTGTGATTGCTTTACTTAACCTGGAAGGAGAGAGGTGGTTTTAATAGATAATGGAGAAAATGATTGCTTATTTTTTTCTCATTAAACTAATGCTGACCCAAAGGTTTGGGTATTGTCTTTAATCCTTTAAGATTAACATTACATTCTGGTAAATTGTTTTACTAAAAGGGTGAAAGTAAATACAGAGACAGCATGTACTCCAGATAGATGTGCTCTTCTATGGTTGAAAACAGTTTAAGCCAGTGGGTAGCAATTTCTAGCTCTTGGGCATTTTTTGGTATAGTATCTAATGGACTTTCCCTACCTGATGACAGAAGTTTCTCATCATACCCAGTTCTGTTTGGAATCAAGTCCCTACTTTTAATATAGTGTTTAAGTCTCTCCATAGAGCTCTGCTGAGTCCAGCCTCCTCCTGATTCCTTCCGTGTGAATCTTAAACCCAGGAGGCTTCATGCACACCCCTGTTCTGTGCTGTTGTCGATGGTGTTACTTGGTCTGAAATGATCCCATCCTCTCCTCTCCTTTTAAAAAATGTGCCTTCAGGTTCAGCTCCAGGCCTACCTCATCTGTGAAGGCTTCCCTTAAAAACTCCAGCTCATGATGAGTTTTGTTTTTCACGTGTGTGTGTAGCTTCTATATGTAGATACATAGTTTTTATGTGTCATATAGAGGCATTATATGTAAGTGATTATTATATAGAGAGAAAAGATAAATGTACATACACAGGCATATATGTCTTGTTTCCAGCAAAACTATATATCCTCTTGGACTCTAGCACAGAACAGGCACTGAGTACTTAGTAGATAATTCTTAATTGGTAAGCATATTTCTGCTTAAATGTGTCTTGACCAATTTACATGCTGTCTTATTTTCAACATGACTTGAAAGCTCCTTGAAAAAGGTTTAATATAAAATCAAATGGATAATGGTGATGGTTACACAACACTGAATGTATTTGATGCTGCTGAATTGTACACTCAAAAATGGTTAAAATGGTAAATTTTACGTTACAGATATTTTCCCACACTAAAAAATAAATTTATAATTAGTCAGCTACCCAATAAAACAAAATAAGACAGCAAAAGATAATGATACTCTGATACAATTTAAGTGACATCTCCAATTACAACCAAAATTTAATCTAATCCTGAAAGTTATTTAAATTATCTCAAGTTACAATCCTTTATGAAAAATAATCTTAAAAGCTGGGAATCTTTGACATTGTTACTCATTTGGTGGTTTCTTTCTAGGAACTATATATAGGCTGAAATAATGTTTTTAAAAAAATATTTTCTAGGAAGCATTTCAATTCTCCCTACTATATTGTACCTCACGATTGGCGTCCTCAGAGAAACTGCTGTGAAGTTACCCGGGGGCCAGTTATCTTCGACAGTTGCAGCCTCCCTTCAGGCTCTGAAAGGAATATTATCCTCTCCCATGGCCCGCGCCGAAAAGAGCCATACTGCCTGGACGGACCTTCTCCGCAGTGCTTTAACGACGGTTCTTGACTGCTGGGATCCAGGTAATTTGGGCTCTCTGGAAGCAGTTGTGCAGTTCATTTTAAAAGCAAGAGGGATATTTTTTTGAGAATAAGCTATTTACTTGATCATGTTTGGCTGTCTCATCTCGAGGAGACCACATTCACTATGTATTTGTTAAAGCAGATGTATCAGTAGATAGCAAACATCTATTTTAGTATCTTTACCCTTTAATGCAATTAATGACTGGCAGCCTGTATGTTGACAGTGAGAGACCTTTAAATGTAATAGTATGTTCATTTTAAAGTATCTAGGGGGAGGGGATAGCTCAGTGGTAGAGTACGTGCCTAGCATGCATGAGGTCCTGGGTTCAATTCCCAGTACCTCCATTAAATACATAAATAAATAAATAACCTAACTACCCCACCCCACCCCACCCCAAAATAGATACACATATTATGATCCATGTCTAGCTAACACCTGAAAACTGCATAAGGTATACATTATAAATAAAAGGACTGATCTGGTTCATATCCTCACTCCAGTACTAGCTAGTGACAGGCCAAGTTATCCAACTTCTCTGAGCCTTAGTTTTCTCATTAACAAAATAAGGAGATTATGTTGCAGAAGTTACTAGAGCAGTAATATAATACATGAAAAGCATCTTGCTTTTTACCTGGCATATATTAATAAATGATAGCCAGTATTATGTTCAGTATTCATTAAAATTAGTTTTTCTCTTTGTGGTTTTGTAGTATTTATTTTCAACATTATGTCCTGGTGATTATAAAGAGTCTGTAGGCATACTATAAATTATCCCTGCCTTGTTCAGTTTATCAGTATCACAGTTCACTGTATTTTGTTTCAGGTGGTAAAAAGTTTTCAGTTGAATTTAGCATTTTTTGACGACCAGCTTCGTGCCAAAGCTGGGAGTATCGTGCAGTTTAGTACCTATAAATTGCTGTGGGGTATGATTAATACTTTAAGGAGTTCCTTGAAGGCAACAGTAATGTCTTAATTATCACTACACTCCTAGTACAATAAAAAAGAGAGAACTGGCACAGAAATAATCAGCTCTGTTTGAGTGAACCAGGCAAAGTGTGACAGTAGAGGTCTCTGGAATCTCACGCTTAGATGGGAGTTTGGGGAGCAAGAGGTGTAATAAGGGACATTTGTGAAGGGAATGGGGAAAGCACTGTTGGGCAGAGAAGTCAAACTGCAATGCAGGCTTCCAGCAGAGCTCAGCGCACCTGCCCACAGAGGGGTGGGCGGAGGAAGATCTCTGGAGACTGCCCCTCCTCCTCTACCTCCGATGTGGCTGCCCTGGGGTGAAGCCAGCCCTGGGGGAGCTGACAGCTGACTCCCCACAGCCGGCAGCACCTTCCCCCGCCAAGGGGAGCTCAGGGGTTTGCCTCACTAGCTACCACAGGGGCTTCTCAGAAGAGTCGGTTTCTTAAAGTAGAAAGCATCCTCCGTTCTCCACGTGGACATTATAGAAATGGATTCTTGCACAACATTTTGATCCAAGCCTGGAAGACCTAAATATTATGGTACATTTGAGGATGGCAAGTAGAGCAATCAGGGAATGTGGGTTTGAAGGGCAAGAGTAGGAGGGCGGTGAATGATGATTAGTAGAGAGGTGAAGTTGGATGGTACATGGGGCCAGATTATGGAAGGTTTGGCATGACTGGTACTTTGGACTGCTTTTCATAGGCATGTGTTCTTGAAGGGATTTACATTTCTAAAGACTCACTCTGGCAGCAGTACAGAGAAGAAGGCAAGACTGTTGGAGATAAGATAGTAGCAGTAAAAATAAAGAGGAGTAGAATAATGCAAACTAAAATGTTAAGTAAGTAGTAACAGAATTCACTGATAGTTTGGCTTAGGAATTGAAAGGGTTAGGGTGATGTGAGCATTCATGTGACTTGAAATACCAAAATGAGGGCTTTCAGGGGAAGATAGTGAGTTGATTGTAAAGTGCCTGCAGGATAGTCAAGTGGAGCAGAATGTGAAGCAGTCTGGAGTTCAGGAAAATCTGGGCTAGAGTTGGTTTTAGACTGTATGTATTGGGAATTGTCAGTATAGCCTCCGGAATGGTTGGAATCTCCTAGCTCGAATTTATGGAGCAAGACAGGAGGAGGTTCTGAATATTACACAGTAACAGAAGCCAAAAATGAGCGTTTTAACGACTAGAGAGTGGTCAGCAGTGTAAAATACACCAGGGGACCGTGCTCACAGTGTTGAGGTACAAGTGAGGAGGCAGGAAGGGGAGGGATCCAGTACAGGCTCCTCTCCACAGGAAGACAGGGAAGCTGAAGGAAGAGACAGGCTCAAGGAACTGACTCTAGCATGAGGTTTTGCTTACAGGGGAAAAAGAAGGTGCAGATAGGGTTGGAAGTATCAGGGTGGGAAGCAGTGTCCCTTTCCTGGACAGAAGGGAATAGTATTCACAGCGCATTTAGAAGGATTAACCTCTGCCAATGTGAGGGAAGAAAAGGAGATAAAATGGAAAGTAATAGGTGTTGGTTTTTAAGCTGAGACTTACGATGAGCTTGCCTTTTTCACCTCGTACAGACACAAAGATGGTTTTCTGTTTTCTGTCGGGGAATGAGGTTAGGATCTTGAAGATTTGGGCTAGCTACTGAGAGAAATCAAAGGAGCTGATTGTGACAGCGAAAACATTTGCTAGGTAACAAATTGCCCCAAAACTTAGTGGCTTCAAACAACAAACATTTCTTATCTGACAGTTTCTGTGGGTCAGGAACTGGGGAGCAGCAGAGCTGGGTGGTTCTGTCTCAGGGTCTCTCTTGAGGTTACTGTCAAGAGGTGGGCCAGGGTCGCAGCTAAAGAACCCATTTCCAAGAGGACGCACTCACCCGTGGCTGTGGCTGCCGGTGAGAGGCCTCAGTCTCTCGCAGGCTGGCAGCAGGAGGCCTCAGCTCCCTACCACTTGGCCTCTCCGCAGGGCTAATGCTAAGGGAACCCTGCACCCATCGTAGGTAAAGGAGAGTGGGAATAAGAGGACTGGGGCAGGGGTAGGGGGAATTAGGCAGTTTTAGAAGGAACAGGACGAAGAATCTGTGGAGCTTTATATTACTGAGAACAAAAAGACATTTTTTACTACACAGACTAGCTGAGTATGTATGTTGCAGTTTCAAGTTGCTATAAATAACTAAAAATAACTTGGCTAGATGGGAAGCAGTGGGGCATGATGGTTCACAGTATGCTCTCTGGATCAAACTGAATGCCTTGCTAACTGTGTGATTTAGGCAAATGACTGAATTTCTGTTCCTCAGTCTCTCCATAAAATGGGGGAAATAAGAGAACCTACCCCATGGTGCTATTGTGAAGATCAAATATTTAATACATATAAAGTGCTTATAGTAATGTTGTCATAATTTTAAATGATAGCTATGCACCTGTTTTACCTTAAAATTATTCAAAGTATTTTTATAAAATAAATCCCACCCATCCATAATATTTTGCTTTCATTGCTGCTGGCTCTCAAGTGTCAGCACTCGAATATTAATCTCAAGCCTTTCTCTCTCTGGCCACCCAATGTAGCAACTCCTTGGGTCGCTTTCTATTATCTCTTAATTTTTTTTTATATATTCATAGACCTGGTGACTGGCTGAAATTGAATGATTTACTTCCTGGTATATAGTATATCTTTGTAAATTGTATTCTCAGTGCCAAAAAGAGTCCTGGCACATAGTAAATGTTTCTTAAAGATTTGATGAATGAATGTTATCAAAGCTACTACACATATATGTAAGTAATTTTTTCATGAGGAGCAATCCATTCTTATACAATTTAATGAGCTGAATTTGCCATGCCTTTTCCTTTTTAAATAACATTGATTTTCCACAGCAGGTTCATTAAAATTATTTAATGAGAGTATGACTTTGGGAAATGAAGGTAAATTACATCTAATAGAAAATTCCTTTAAATGATTGTGACTCACACAGGTATTCTCACTACTGTTAAGAAATGGTATAAGTAGCAAACAAAGTGCTAAGGTATTTTCATGTATTGACACGTGTATTATCAAAATACAAGTACTTTAAATTTAACAGGAAAAACAATTGTCCAAGTATTTCTGTGTTGCTCCACAGTAGAAATAATAATGTAATAGTTACTTTGTTTTGGGCATTATGTGCAACGTGCTATTCTGAATGCTTTATGTGGATTAACTCATTTAATCTTCATAACTTTATAAATATAAGTACTGTTATTCTCATTTTACAGATGAGAAAACTGAAGACTGGGTTAGATATCTAAGGTCACAAAACTAGTAAATGCATATTCCTAGAAAATGAATATATGTGTTTACTGATGACTCTAACTACCTAGGAAGATTATAATTACTTTGGTAATTCTTGACTCTAGAATGACTTACAGTACCCATTTTAAAACCTACAGCATTTGCCAGGATTCTTGTCAATCAATGTTTATTATCTGTAACTGTTAGGTACACAAAAGAAATTATTACTACCAAACTAAAGACAGCTTTACAGATACATAGAACAGTAAGTATGAGAGCACTGGTATCTGTTTCTCATAGATTGTTTCTCTTTAGTAGATGGAACACACCAAGAACTAGATGAAGTCAGTCTACTTACTGCTATCACAGTATTTATTTTGTCCACCAGTCCAGAAGTAACTACCATCCCATGCCTTCAGAAGCGCTGTATTGAGAAATTTAAGGCTACTCTTGAGATAAAAGATCCTATGGTAAGTGTCTTCAAAAGAGAAGTATTTCTTAATAGGAATATGTTTAGGTTTTTGCAGAACTTTTCTTTGTGATTTTGTTGGGTCCAACAAGAAGTACCAGACTGAATTTTTTTTATTTTTAGGTTTGGATTAAGTCCTATTCTTGTGTCGACAAAGCCAAATAATAACAGTCTTGTTCTTTGGCCCTGAGGATAGAATGCAGCTACAGAAAGAGAGAGGAAATTTTTTTTTATAAAAAGCTAAATTTGATAGGGGCATCTGTAAAATTGATATATCACTAGAACTTTACAAGGGACTTTTTATAAAACCCTTTGTAGCTTATTATAGTAGATTTCCTTAGGAAAGAAGGAAGGAAGAAAGAAGGAAAGGAAAGAGAAAAACAAAAGGAAGCACATGGCTTCAGTATATGATTGTAAAATAATGGGACCTATTTCAAGAACAGTATATACAAATTAATCTCATTCCTTTATGGCCCGTTTACCTGTTAGATTAATTTCCTATTTTACTTACTGTTTACAAAAATAATCATTCAGATATCATCACAGTGAATCAAATAAAGGGTGATTTGTATCTTTGATGTATAGTCTTCTCCTTTTGTTCTTCTGTCCTGTTTATTGCTTCTGGCCTCACAAGAGCTTTCTGTAGCAGCCTCAAAGTGGTGGCTCTGATAACAACACATAATATGGTCCAGACACAGAGCCTTAAAATCTTCATAATATCAAAAATATGTGATTTTAGTCTAAAACATTTTCCAGAGTCTCCTAAATATTTTTCAAGGTTGTGTGTATGTTTTGTTTTGGTTCAGATTTTTACATTATAGACAGACACATGACGGGAAAAATGGGAACTAGTCAAAAGTAGAAAAATTAACCACTCACATGCCTTTATCCCCACTCTGAGCTATCACAGCCACTGTTAGCATCACAAGCACTTAGCAAGTTTGAATAGCTGTTAGTCCTGGACTTCCAAAATTAAAGATAAATTATAAATAAATTTAAGTATTTGGGGTAAGGGGACTTTAATTTTTTTCATTTACATTTTTCAATTTACTTTTTAAAATTTACATTAGAGCTTACATTTTAATATAATTGGAAATTTTTATTTACAGTTTATACTGTTTTTGTCTCTTACCTTATTAGGTACAAATCAAGACCTATCAGCTCCTACTTTCCATTTTTCAGTATCCAAATCCAGCTGTTTCGTACCCATACATTTACTCGTTAGTATCCTCTATTGTGGAAAAACTGCAGGAAATAGACAAGAGAAAACCTGAAGATACTACTGAGCTCCAGATCTTTCAAGAAGGCATAAAGGTCTTGGAAGCACTGGTAGCCATTGCTGAAGAACACCATCGTAAGTGTCAGCACTAAATGCGTGCTAAATCAGAAGCTGTTCAAAATCAGGAATTTAATGTTATTTAAAATATAAAACATCCAGTTAGTCACTTAACAATATACCGTCACATTCACTGAAAGGCAGGTGTTATTGTTAATCCAAGTACTGATATTATTTAGTATTAATTTGGGAGGAGAGATTGGAATAACTCTAATGGGGAAAATATGTACAGATCATGTATAAGGAACATTTACATCCCTGAACCTGAGACTTACATCATTTGTTTACTTTCCAGGCTCTCAGCTGGTGGCCTGTCTGCTGCCCATCCTCATTTCCTTCCTTTTGGATGAGAATGCTCTGGGATCAGCGACTTCCATAATGAGAAATCTGCATGACTTTGCTTTACAAAATCTCATGCAGATTGGGCCTCAGTATTCATCAGTTTTTAAAAGTGTAATGGCTTCTTCTCCAGCCTTGAAAGCTCGCCTTGAAGCTGCTATAAAGGGCAATCAGGAAAGTGTCAAAGTCAAGATACCAACATCTAAACATACTAAGAACGCTGGAAAAAATTTAAGCATCCAATTAAAGACCAACTTCCTCTGATTTTTTTTTTTTCAATAGTTAAGCACCTTAACACAATACTTGATCATTTCCTTCTCTTTCGGGGCAAAAGTGACATTTTAGACACAAGTGCACTTGGAGGTCTGGTTTTTTGTTTTACCTTAAATAGCTGTGACTTTTCAAAGTAACAGCAAACTTAACATTTTTTGTGTTGGTTTTTGATTTGGGGTTGTTTTTGGTTTTTTGTTTGTTTTTTTCCATATAATAAAATCACAAAGCTCTGTCAGAATTTTTGCCAGGAATTTCAAGAAAGTGTTAAAGAACTGAACTTAGAAAACAAACCACTGCTTTAAAAATGAAGTTTATTTCTTCTCACAGTCCATACACACATGATATACTTACTACTATGGCAAATATAGATTTGACTCTAGTATAAATTATTTGCATTTATATAGTATCCCAAATACTGATTTAAAATTCTGCCTTATTCCTTAATTGTATTAAACTTTCTTGGATTTCTCAGACAACATAAATTAAATCATGGGAAAGCTATTCAGGAAACTTGGCTTAGAATTACTTAATATATAAAGTACAAATTAATTACAGCCCTACAGTGTGACTTGAGATTTGGTGTCTATAAATATCGTGGTTTTTCACGATCTATTGGTTTTACTTGTATTGAGTTCAGAAAATTCAAATTTTATGCGTTTTAAATAGAATAGGACATTTCCATTTCAGTTTCTCACATGGGTTTTCTTTTACCTCTGTTGCTAACAGTTCTCTTCATTTGTGGCAAACATTCATACCAATGAGTTTAATATAGATTCATATTTATATTTAAATTAACTATGGGTTTATATAAATGTCAAATGTAGTACAACAAATTTAGATCATCAGTGAATACAAGTATGTTTTTTAACATGAAACATATTTTAATATAGAAAAAACCTAATAATAAATTCATATTGGTTGAAAAATATTTTTTAACTGTTGGTGATCATTGACTCTCCTACTTCATTGTTAAATTGTGTGAATCAAGCACTGTGTCAAAACAAATCATTTCCCTGTTAAAAATTAAAAACCGAAATGATGGCACGTTCAGAATTGAGAGACACTTGGAGTCAAGCAAGAGCAATGTGATATACTCTATTTTATTATGTTTGTAAATACTCTTGTAAATTGTTCAGAATGAAAACATTTGACAAAGTCTAACACTACAATCAATTTTTCTAATTTACATAAATAAAGCTAATTTTCTTTATCATTCTTGTGTTTGAAATTATTTTACCCACAAAAGATGGCTGGTTAGTCTCACAGATTCCAAAAAATCAATTCTGTGTTGCAAATAATACCGTCTCTGAAACATAGCCTTTTTTCTTGGAGGGGCCCTTTTCTTTGGAGCATTCTTTGCAGTGGTTTGGATTCTCTGTCTTCCCAATTGTCTCTGAATTCGCCTGTATACTTCTGTTTCCTTCACCTGAATGCCCTTCTCTCCTCTGTTCTGTCAGCTGACTCCCACTCCGTTTAGGCCTGTTTTAAATGTCACTTCCCCTTCATAACTCTGCTTAACACTTCGTAACCTCCTTTCAAACCAAGCAAACTTAACTACTTCATCTGTGTTCCTGCAGTACTTCATCTATTCTATGCATTGAAGATCAATCACATTGCATTTTAGTATCTCCCTTTTAGACGGTGCCTCCTCAAAGGGAGAAATTCTGTCTTCTGTAACTGCCTGTGTAGCATCAACTAGAGACTTTAAAACTGTTGAATTGCACTAGTGTAGGATGAATTTTAGCTCAGAAATTTATTCTTTTGCCAAGGCAAATGCTGGGCTGGGATAATTTCAGGATGTAATTTATTAATTTGATTTTGGGTTTCCTTTGTATTATTTTGTGTTTTGTTTCATTTAGTTTGTCCTTCAACTTTAAGATTTCTACTCATCATTTAATGACCTGGTATCCTGAATTGGCTGGATTAAAGGTGCTACGTGAATGTCAACAGTTGTGAAAAAATACCATGTCCAGTGTCATGGAATTAGGAACTTTGAGTTAGGCACTATTCTATCGCCTTTTTTAAAATGTATCATCTTGTTTAATAAAACACTGAATTCGTAAATGTATCCTTACTGACAAAGAAATTAAGGCTTCCCGGTTGAGATTTGGACCCATCTTTCTGATCCCAGGGTCCCCACTAGAGACAAAAGGTCCTCAAGCAGTCCTGATTCCATCAAGATAAAGCTTTTCCCTCCGTGTTCTATGTTCCCTCAGGAGCCTCCACTCTTTGTTAAAGATGTTATCAGTTAACATTTCTTCAAATTGCCACCAAAAGGTTTCTGGCTAATACAACATAAGAAAGTGGAAGAAATTTGTGACCTCTACAATTTCTATGGGAATAAATTACATAATTCGATGTTGATGTAAATTCTGATTTGTTTAAAACTGAATAGTTAAAACTAAAAAACACATAAAAAATTCTTTACATCTGTTTTAACAAGTCTCCAGTCGTGATAAAGCAATTGCATTTTAACTTGGTAATTCTTTACCAATTAAATACGCTGATTAGCAACTTGGATGAAACAAAAGTGGTGTAATATTTGCCCTGAGCTTTGTATTTTTCTAAGGGAAGAAACAGCGCAAGCTACTAGGAGAGTCTCATTCTATTTAACCCACTGCTCAAAAGCTTATCATGGAAAATTTTCAAAAATGACATTGGAGATCCCAGATTTCTATTAATAGAGCACTGAAACAAAATTTCTACTTCTATAAAACAAACTTCAACATTAACCTAAAAGGAACATTAAGGCACTTAAAAAGATACAAGTACCTGCTGTGAAAGAGATATAAGCATACAGCTACGGAGGCCCAGGGAAGAAAAGCAGGGCTTCCAAGCAGGACTTCACGGAAGGAATATCATATGGTATATAGGCTTAGCGAAGAGAACGCACTTGACAGAATAAACGCATAACCCAAGAGTCTTCAGTAATACCAATTTTGAAAAGAAGAATTTTCTTTGTCTTTTTAATTATAATATTAGTTTGCATTATAAGGGAAGAAATTCAACCCTCAAGCTAATAAGCTGGTAATATTAATGCAAAACGGACAATATGTAAAATAAAGTCTATTACCTCAAAACTACAGAGTTAAAATGTTGAATCATTTCTGGATGTTTAAGGATTGCATTAAGGTAACAGTCCTGAAGCTTCAGCACTCTGCCCATCTGTATCTTTCCAGAGTCCCGTTAACATAACTGGAGTCAAGGTACATGTATCACATTTTCTCCATCAACTGAATATATTTCCCTCTTTACAAATAACTTGCTACTCCTTGCAAGACCTCAGCTTAGAAGAAATTTATCTCCATGTTTGCTAGAAATTTGGTTATTCAACTGCTGGCTAACTGACAATCATCAGCCAGTTGAGTTGTATGTTTATCAGTCTATTTAACTGAGGCCTGGGCTTTTAGCTTTGAGGAAATAGGAAATTTAGTGTTGTGATATAGCACTGGAATATATACAGTACAGACACAAATACAATCCCAGGTTCTATAAATTCAAAGGAGCTAGCTTCCTTTAGTTGCCTGTTTGATTAGCTGCGCTATTCTACTTGGGGCATTATAAAATGAGTTCACAACCTACTTGAAGAAAATTCTAGTTACCTGGTAGCCATTCTTAGTACATGTCCACATATCCCTTTAAATAGACAAAGTATTTCCAAAAAACATGTATACAGTTATTTTTTTTTAAAGGATTCTAACTATATTTTTTAAGAAAATAAGAGGTCATCACTGCCAATGAAAAACTGATGTTGATGTTTTCCTTAATGGATTAAGATTTAATCACTTTTTTCCTGAAAAAATAACTAGATGCAAAAAATTTTATAAGCAAAACACACACACACACACACAAACATATCAGCAATAGTGGAGTGCTTTATAAATTAAAATATTTCAAGAAAGAACAAAACTTGGAATATTTTAGTGAGATAGTTTTGGTAAGGTAACTATCACACTAGATAACTTGTGAGATTTTTTTAAGCAATTTAAAGCATGTCAGTGACACAGCAAGAAAAGTTTTGTTAGTGCTGTTATTGGAGGTAGTGCAAGTGGCCTCAGGAAAAAAAATGTGCACGTGCAACCAAAACTGATGCTCTCTGCTGAACAGTGAGTTCTATAAACTTCAGTATTTCTGTTAGTTACTTGATTCTGATCTTAAAGCTTTGGGTCTTAGGGTCTATAGAGCAAAATGCTGGAGGACAGCTCACCCCTCCCTGAACTGCCAGAGTGCCTCATCATCTCGTACCTTTCCCTCCCTAGTAGTATCAGGTGCTAGAAACACATGATCTGGCCTTTGTTTAAACACAAAAGTACCATAAAAATAGATTTTCTAAATTATGGAAGTGTTTCTTCCAGCATTCAACCCACCTATTGTGAGTCAGTATCAAATGAGAAGCGGTTAGACCATGTACTTCCTAGTCCCCAGCTGTACTGGCACTCTGCCAGCTGCTATATTTTTCATTACAGACGCTTTCTCTTTTCACTAACAATGTGACCATTCTGACTTCTCAGTGTTGTATAAAAATTTTGCAGACTTTTCGTTGTTTGATTTCTGTCCTTAACACAGTACTAAAACTTGCAGAAATCACCCTAGAATCTGTCTCTCGGCAAACATGCCTAAACCATTTAGAACAGTTCATTCTATTTTAAAAGGCTGGGGGTTTTCCATGCTCTTCCCTAAAAACCTGCCTAGCATATATCATTATGTGAGCTTCAAAATTATCTTTTCTATAATCATTTTCAAGTACCTACTTGTCAATGGTTTCTTAGCTATGACACCTACAATGCACAAGTGACAAGGTAGA